GGGTTAGGGTTAGTTAGGGTTATTTAGATGCTAACTGGACCTGTGTGCAGGACTCGTGATGCGTGGGCTGAGGGCTCCTGGGTTTCTGCTGGCTGCGTTTCTGCTGCTGCGCTGCGTCTCTGCAGCCCCCAGCCTGAGGTGAGGAAAATGTCCTAAATTTATTTCCTTACAGAATAAAGAATCCCGTTTATTCCTTACAGAATAAAGAATAACCACCAGGTTTACTGCCCACCTGTTTCTGCACAGCCGGGAAAAGTTTCCCCTCGCTTCTAGATGCTGGAACAGAGGAAATCAGAGCTGATTCTGGAGGAAAAAAGCTGAAATTTATGTTGAAATTTGATGTAGTTTGATTTATTTTAATTCATTTTTGTGATTTATGTGGTTCCCATATTCACTTTTAGCAAAAAATGTTAAGCTTCTTCTGGAAAAACTGACACCTTTTCATCCTTTTTTAGTAGAACTAGCTCGTTTGTGGAAATCAGATCCAAATCTAGAGAAAAAAAGCTGAAATTTGATAGATTGTGATTTATTTTTTATTTATTTTAGTAATTTATCTGGTTCCCATATTCCTTTTGTGTGATTTTTCCAGCTTCTTGTGGAGAAACTGACATCTTTTCATCCTTTTTGAGTAAAATTAGCTCATATTTAAAATGTAAATATCTGAAACTGATCCCCAGCTCTGAGTTCCAGCTTTTAGTCGACTGGTTTCAGCTCCTCAGACAAAGTTTCCTTCATTTTCTGGATGCTGGAACAGAGCTGATCCAGGAAGTGAACCTCATTCTGGAGGAGAAGCAGCAGAACAATGATCATTTTATATATTTACATTTTAAATATGAGCAAATGTTACTCAAAAAGGATGAAAAGATGACAGTTTTTCCAGAAGAAGCTGGGAAAATCACACAAAATTAATACGGGAACCAGAAAAATTCCTAAAATAAATCAAAATAAATCAAATTATATCACATTTCAATCTGAATTTCAGCTTTTTTTCTCCACAATCAGCTCTGATTTCCACTAAATGAGTTCTGTTGTGCTGAAATTAGTCGATCATTTTATATTTTGACATTTTAAATATGAGCAAATGTTACTCAAAAAGGATGAAAATATGTCAGTTTTTCCAGAAGAAGCTGGAAAAATTAATATGGGAACCAGATAAATGACTAATATAAATACAAAAAAATAAAAATATATCAAATTTCAATGTAAAGCTGAGCTTCTTAGGTGTGACACATTAAGAGAGGCTGAAATGCTTT